AGGACTAATGTTGACTTTTACCTGCACTGGGTTGAGTATACTTTTAAACGTCATTAATAATCTCTCTCCTTCATTATCTCCACTCTTGCGATTAGCAAACACAAGCAATGGACTCCAGTTTTTTATGGGAGGTACCACAACTTCACGAACTACAAATCGTTTCTTGCTCCGCCAACTTTCCACGGTAAGACTTATACAATGTGGAGGTAAAATCATGGTTTTATACTTTCCAAAGTCACAAATGTTTGATTTACTTCGAAGGCAATGATCGTGTGTTTTATCCTGGCACCAAACGCATCTAAGATCACATAATCTGGGTTCGGTACCGCAATGAAAACCGCAGACGCTACATGTGCTACAAAGAGGCAAGTTTCCTCGCACCCATTGATGGTTCATGTAGCTTCTCTTGGACAGAACCAGAACTTTGCAAGCAAATCTCTCTGTTGCCCCGTCGATACATTCTTCGTGAACTGAAATCCCGCAATTTTCACAGTATCCACCTCTTACTAGAGGTCGTTCACAGAAGTTACAATACGTCGGTTTATCAAGGATTTCAGTCATAAACCAACGATGACCCTTGTGTGGATCTCCAACACGTAGACCGCGTTTCCAAGTCAGACCCAGGAGCTTTGTCAACACCCAGGAAAGGAAAATAAACATTCCACAACAAGCTAGGACTTGGTATACATCTCCTCGCCATTCCAAGATGCTTTCCATTGGCTTTCAACATATCTAAAGTGAGCTAAATGAGCAATTTTAAATTGTGATTAAAATCATACCGACAACACCTGCTTTTAGGTAAGACCGCCATGTTGAAATTTACCCAGAACGCCCTTCGCGGAAACAAATAGAGTGGGGATCTGAGTACGAGACATCATTGATGACGATTATAGTCATCAATCACTTAAAGGCCATCGTCATCAATCATCATCACATTGTCGACGAATTTGAACTACCCTTTCGCTGCAACGTGTAATATTAGATGACAGAGAGAACCTTACAACGAACATCATCAATCAAGGCTTAATCCGGCTACTGTAACTCAAGAACGCGTATATTATATAACTGTATGTATAGCATAAATTACACAGCCCTTACAGAACATAAGCGTGCATATAAAGAATGTTTGGCAAATTAGCATATTATAGCCTTGAATTAAAGTAAGTTCGCCATTTTGAATAATCAAATCCAGAAACTCGTTTGTCCAGTTTGGCTATGACGTCAGTGCTTTCTCATTGGCTCACAGCCAAGCCTTTT